TAGCGCAGACCTATAAATAAAACTATGCAATACTTTTCCTGACAAGCAAGCATCCAAGATGTCTGAATGAAAAGAAACCTACGGGGAAGTTCTTACACCTTAGGAAGAGGAATTTAAAACCAGGTTACGGTTATATATTCAAGATTTAAAAAGGAAAGTGCCACTCTTACACAACTGACAAAACTTACAACTACACTTTAATATAATCAAGATCTGAAGTACTGAAAACTGAAAACAAAAAGAATAACCTTCATCACTGAATTTAACCATAATGATCAGCAACGTAAGGATGTAGTTAAAAGACAGATTCTAATGGCTGAATCATCTGAAGGAAAACTACAGATGTGACAAATGCATGCACATAACAAAATTATATATTTACTACTATTACTATAAGTTTTTTTACTTTTCCACACAGTGGTAAGACGTTTCCTGTTAAACAGTTCATAAACTGCAGCACAACATCACAGTCTAGCTCAAATGCCCTGTGCTCAAGGTTATATCGGACAAATAAAGAGAGCACCTAAACGACCTCTTTGAGAAGACAAAACAGGCATTCATACTGAAACATGGAGTATGTGACAGCCAAACACTATCATGAAGCTAAATATGGTTCTTTTGCCACTCTGAATTTTATCGTTTTTTATGCAACTCAGCTCATCTAAATTGATTTCTCATAGAGATGCTTTGGATTTCAGTGCTCAGTACAGTGACTCCTGCTGGTCTGAGGGATGCTTTTCTTGTAAAATGCATTTTTGTGAAGCTTATATGAGACATACAAAAATACAAAATGTTTATGATAAAACGTGAGAGAACACGTCAATTGTAAACACACTAATCTGTTTTAATATATTGTTATGAGGAAGAGATGAGAATTAGGTTTCATACTGATGTGTTGGCTTGTTTGCTGACACGGTCAGATACACCAGTGTGTTTGACAGTTTTGTTCTGTACCCTAGCAGCACTGCAGTTACATTATTTTGGTTTAGCACCACGGATGAATGTATTGGGAAAGAAGATCCTCTTCAGAGACTGAATGAGTTTATTTACAACAACTCTTTCATCTGTTCACCACTGGTGAACACAACTACAAGACCAGGAGTTTGCTCTACTCAGCTTTTCTCAGCAGCTTGGAAATTGTTCTTTGTGTCTCACATCCACACAGATCCTGTTCAGCAAGTTCACAGAGCTTGCAAATAATTGTGCTTCATATCTTGCTGCACATCAAGCACACACGCAAGCCGGTAAACAAAGAAA